GGGTGACGGTTGCCCCAAGAACTAGATAGTTGCTTAAAACGACAATACTATGAATTGCGTGAGGTAGACACGGACAAGGAGGCCAAAGCATGCCCTTTTACAGGGTTGAGTGTAGCATCTATTACATTTTGTACCGGGGAAGGGCAACATTTTTTGGTAGAAACTAAATCATCATAAGAAATTTTGATAAAGGAAAATTTATTTTCCATTTCTTGTGCGTCATTTTATATGAATTTTTCGTTTTTCTTGAGAGCTATTAAAAGCTTAACTGCCAATGAAAACATTGTCCTAAAAATATACAATGCATACTCACTTACTGTTGTTTGTTACTCTTTACAGCCTAAAAAATTTTATCACTGATATGTACTTAACAAGGATTCGAAGATTTAAATTGCCAATTTCGAATTCGTTCCACCAAAATGAGCTATATAAATAGAAATACGAGTTCAGTTAATTTTTTCGGTATTCGAAATATTAAAAAAAATTAGGCAATCGTAAGAAATCACCATCTCCATCGAAAACCAGCAGCAAGATTCCAGCATTTACTATCACTAATTTTGATCGCCGAAAATCTCCAAAGGAATAGCAGGAACTCCTAACAACACGCAACATCTAGTTACATGACCATCATTCTGCCAGATTTGGCTGATTACACATTACAGTTATTACTTTTCCATTCAGTATACTTTTAGGCCCACTGCTTTTCATTTAGAGAATTTTGGCGACGAAAATTTAGCGTAGCCATTGTCAGAATTCCACTACAAAAACCAAAAATCGAGAAAAATGAACATTAAAACTCTTTTTTAACATTTTTCATTGCTTTTGAAAGTTGAGCGCATCTTGTGTTTATAGAACTTTTAATTGACCAAGTAATTTTTAAGCAAAAAACACAACCGACTTCAATTCTCACATGCAAAATTAAGACTACCGTTATATTTTTCATGATCCAATGGTCATATTTTTTTTAATGTAGCTCGATTCCCGTGCGTAATCGGCGCAATTGATTGTACCCACGTCCGTATTAAATGTCCAACAAGAAATGTTGGTCGCATGATGGCAGGACACTTTCGGAATAGAAAGGGTTACTATTTATTAAATGTACAAGTGCGTATGAACCTATATAAAAAAGCAACCGTATTAGCATACAAAAGCTTACACTTTCTTACTTGCAGATTGTTTGCGATGCCGAATGTAAAATTTTGGACATTGTTGCAAGAACCCGTGGTTCTGTTCATGATGCTAGGAGCTGGAATATGTGTCGATTAAAAACAAATTTAGAAGCAACAAAGCATGTACATAAAGGCGTACTGCTTGGTGATGGAGGCTATCCATCAAATTCTAAAAATTAATAAAACGTTGAAAATTTAGCTGAAACTGCACATTTTTTATAATTGTTCCACAAAGTTTGAAATGGTGATTTATATGGAGTTTGTTATATAATGAGCTAGACTTTTATGGGAAATTATTAAACATTAAATAAACAAAAGGAAAATAGCCAAAATTTATCACAATGTTGATGACTTAATCAGCTGATCACAAGTGTACATACACTCACCCACATCTAAGTTCTGCAGCGCTTTTTTATCGATATTCATGGTCAATTTATTTCGTAATTTGTATAAAGAAGTATAGTAAATTTTATAACTAAGGGTTTGTAACCCAAAACTTCCAACTTTGTAGACAAATTTTGAAAATTTCAACAAAATATCAAACTTATTAATCAGAATCAACTCTAATTCTTTGCCACTTTTAATTTCATATTATTATGGTAAAATTTAATTAGCTATAAAACTGCATTCTCGATTCTTTTTTAAATTCTCTTTAAAGCCTGAAATTTTCATAATTTGTCTACAAAGTTTGAAGTTATAAAGCCTTTGTTATAAAATTTACTATACTTCTTTATACAAATTACGAAATAAATTGACCATGAACAAAAAAAAATTTAAAAAAGCGTTGCAGAACCTAGATGTGAGTGAGTGTAACTCAATTTCATTTATAAAAATCTTAAGTCTGGTTCAGTCTCGGTACTTTAAAATTCACTAATAAAAATCGATATACTAATACAACCATATCTATCTTAGTTCAGATATATCAAAGGATCACTTTCTGGATTCGATTTGTCTTTTTTTATTTGCTCCATAAGTAGCTGTTTTTTTAATTCATGGAGTTCAATCATATGCTTCATTTGTAGTGAATGGAGCTCTTTTTCGTGCTTTATTTTCAGCTTATGCATTTCTTCGCTTTGCTCTGCTTCCTTTTGGATTTGCTTTCACCTTTCCTGTAGAACGTCATGTTTGTCTGCTTTGTTTTGGTAATTTTCTAAGGTCATTTACTAAATTATCGCCCCGTTAATGTCTTTTTTCTGTCGATTTCGGCTGCTCTTCTGATTCATCATGATGAGATTGGTCCAGCTCCTCCAACTCCAAACATTCCGTGTTGCTATCAATTAAAATGCTGTGTCCTGTAGCTCAATCTGGATCATATAAACCACTTCTTCGTCGCTGTGACTGAGCTCAGGACCTTCCACAAGATTGCCTGTAGCTGTGCGGGCTTTACGAACAGCTGCCAAATTGGTTTTTGCATGCGCCTTCATGCGCATCCATTGCTGCCTCAATTTGCTTATTTCCCTCTCATATCCTAGTGATTCCATATCACTTTTTATAATGCGCCATACATCCTTCTTCTTTGATATCATTTTGGTATCGTTTCGTTTGTCATCAATCACACTGATGTGCTTCGCCATTAACTCACGGAAGCAGTCTTTTTCCTCATGGGACCAATTCGCCTCACGCTCTCTCTGTAATGAAAACATAAAACTTGTTAAAATTTATTAATGACTTGTCATTTAACTTAACTTACTTTCAGCAATTCCGCAGCCATCGTGAACCTCTTGTTTTCTTTTAAATAAATTAATACACATCGTTTAGATATGTGTTTGTTTGTTTCACAGCGTACTATCGATAAACACCGACTTCATAACCCTGCGGTTTTACTGCTTAGTTTACACTTTTAAAACGAATTTATAACCATATTCTTTTGGAAAAGTATATATTGAAAATTAAAATGTCGTTTAAAAGGATCCAAATTTAAATTATTCAATAAAAATGTTGTTTTTTGATATATCGTAAAAACGAAATTTGATATATTTTCACATTGCACATGCCTACAACAGCTGTTTTTGTTATATCGTAAACTAAGTCGAAACTACCCTACTAGACAAACCTGACGGAAACTAATACACACACACCAGTGAACCAACACAAATGCAAGTATGAACATATATTAGTTCAATCCTGTGTACTAGCGAGAATGAAACCCCTCAAAATTTGAAAGAAAGATATAGCAACAATGTACTACGACTGTTTTCAGCTAATTTAACAGAGTTGCATTTCATGCTGATTGAAAGTAGTTGCTACCTTCAAAATACCAAATATATCCGAGTACTATGTAAAGTGAACCATTTAAGATATTTATTTTGGTATTTTAGCTTGGAAATAATTTTGTTTTGTATCGAAAATTTAAATAAAAAACTAATTAAATTGCATTTTTGTCTTGAGTATAGAAATTAGCCCCACAAAAAATTAACAAAACCAAAAAAATAATACTTGGAAACCAAATTCATTCATACCGAATACTTTTCAGAGCCAAATTTCTCATCACTAAAATTTTCGCAAAGCAACGCGCCCGCCATTTTGAAGTATTTATGTTAAATTTTACCAAATCGCAGAAGAATTTCGGAAAGTTTTGTGTTTTTCGAATCAAATCCCAGGTGGAATATAGCCGAAAATAAGAAGATAAGTATCTTAAATTGTGCATGGTGTAAACAATTGTTTAAATAATATGAAAAAGAGGTATTTCCAAAATTGCGTGAGTAAGGAAAAAAGGATCTTTGAATCTGATGCGAAAAGATTTAGAGAACTTTTGGAATGTACTCAAGCAATGGAATGTGTAGCAAATGTTAATGTAATTGAATGTCCCTCCGTACTTATGCTTCCGAGTTCCCAAAAAGACTTAAGTGTTGGTGTCAGTGATAGTGAGGGTGAGGATAAATGTCCAAGTCCCCATAGGGAATTGACTGCTGATAGTGATAGCGAGCCGGAACAGTTCTATTTACTTCAATGAAAAGTTTTTGCTCATACCCTTATTACACCATTTGTTTCACGACTTTTCCAATTTTGCTACACATTCAAATTAATTTAATTTTTGCTACCATTTAATATGAACATAATATAATATATGAACCATAATAATAATATGTATGATATGATCCATGATAATAATATGAACCATGCACATGGATTCAAGCAATATTCTTGATGAGTCGTTTTGTGAGGAGTCTCCAGTCGAAAGTAAGTGGAATGTATGAAAAATGTTTCATCACATAATTCCATCGTTCTTTATTTTAGTGGGCCAATCCCTTATAAAGAAGAGGTGCTACGACACCAATGTTGAAGCGGCAGGTGTAAGCCAAGTTTGCTCTCCGAGTGATGGTAAGTGCCTATTGAAAAAACTATGTAAATAACACTTACGATTTTAGTATTAATTCTTGAAAATCATTAAAGATATTAACGCGAAGCTGGACACCAATGTTGAAGAAGAGGAAGCGGCAGGTGTAAGCCAAGTTTGCTCTCCGAGTGATGGTAAGTGCCTATTTTAAAAAACTATGTAACTAACACTTACGATTTTAATATTAATTCTTGAAAATCATTAAAGATATAAACGCGAAGCTGGACATCCTTCTTAATAACCAAAAAGCCATATGGGATACTTTGCAGACAAGCATCAACAACGTAAGTCCTTGAAATACCTCACTCTTTACAAAAGTTACATACATACATACATATAAATACATATGTACATAAATATATACATATTCATAATAAATACATACATATGTATAAACAATATATATATTTTGTATATTTTTTTTATTTTAGCAAGCAAAGTTGTCAACAAACCAGGCGGAGCTGGAGAAGAAATTCATATCACTCCAAATGAATGTAAGTGTTGTTTTGTGAAAAATAAGAATTTATGAACATATGAGTACTCGATTTTGCAGGCAGTCGAAAACGCGGAATTTCTCGCTCTAGCGAAATCAGCACGCGAAATAAAGGTTTCGGTGCAAAATATAGAAAAGGAAGTTTGTCGTATGACGGGCGAAGCATGTGACAAAATTATGAACGAAATTGCCAGCATGTTGCCCTGCTCCGCATATACCCCGATAATGGCGCTCGAGGAGAAATTAAAGGCCAAGGAGTATGTGAAAGCAATGGTAAGTAATAATAGCGAATTTAACTGATTTTATTAAAAACAACCCCCTTTCAATAGACCACATACTTGTACAAGGTCAAAGGCGTGTCGGATGACGTTGGCGGTGTTTTCAAAAAGCTTTTCACCGATGAGTCCTTGGCTGAATTTAATTGGGAAGGGAGGTGGGAGAAAAAAGCCTTGAGAGAACTGACGTTATTTGAGCATGTTTTGCGCGGTAAACTAAAAAATAATAGTGTCAATAATGCATTCGTTTAAATACATTTCTTCCTTATTTAGACGTTTTCAATAAAATGACGTCCAAGGAGTTCGAGCACGCGGTTAAAAAACAAGTGGAGCGGAGTCATCATCGTCTTCATCAAAAAAAATATGACTCCAAGAAAAGCGACAAAAAATAATATATGTAAATAATTCATAATTACAATAATTAAATTACAATTAGGGGATTCACAAGACGTGTTAACCGTCGTAAAATCTTAAGCTTAACACTTGTTTATGTAAAATAGCGGTTAAAATGGTTGGGGGGTTGGCTAATTATATATTCTTTATCAGTTTAAAAGAATTTCGGTTTAGTTAGAAATCCCCTAAAACCATTTTAATTAAAAAAGATGTTAACCTTAAGATTTTACGACGGTTAACACGTCTTGTGAATCCCCTAAATTAAATTATAATAATAATTACATAATTAATACAGGTCCGAATTTCAAACTTGGTAGAAAAATTAGAAAAAATCGACAAAATGTTACAACAACAACAAACTTTTTATTAAGATTTTCTAGAAAAATTCTATGTATGCAGTTTTATAGCCTATTAAATTCTGGCTTAAGAAAGTGCAAGTTTCAAGTAGCCATAAATTCGCGTTGATTTTTGATAATTTTTTTGGCGGATGGTGTTATTATTTTCTGTCATACAAAATAGGCTATAAAACTGCATACCTAGAATTTTTCTAGAAAATCTTAATAAAAAGTTTGTTCTTGTAACATTTTGTTGATTTTTTCTAATTTTTCTACAAAGTTTGAAATTCGTACCTGTATTGTTTTTGTTAAAAAATAATAAACATTACATTAAATTAACTTAAGAAAAATGGCCAAAACTTGCAAAAATGTCGCGCCCAGTTTTCATTTGGTTTACTGTATATTTATAATATGTATGAAAACCATAAAAAAGTAATAGAATAAGTAACACATTTTGAATTTTCGTCTATTTTTATTGTTTTGTAAATATGTTAACGTTAATAGAATAAGTAATAAGTTTTGACTTTTCATCTAGTTTTTTAAACCTTTTTTTATACTTTTATGGCCTTATTCATAAAAAATAAAGTAGGTTTAAAAAGTTTTATAAATTGACGTTTTCATACATTTTTCAATTTATAAACCTTTTGTAAAGCTATTTTATTTTTTATGAATAAGGCTATTAGAATGGAAGCATACTGTCGTTGTCTTTCGAAATAAAGTTCTTTTACACATGTGTGTAGTTATTTATAAGTTATTTAAATATTTTTGTATGTGAAAATACACAGAAATATGAAAAAAATTTAAAATAGTTTTTTGATCTGATTGATTTATACATCAATCTGATGAATCAGACTTGACTACTTATTGCATCAGTTATGATTAATGAGGGCTGATTGATTTATACATCAATTTGATTAATCATACGTGACTATTATTTACATCAGCTTTGATTGATCAGATCTGACTGATTTATACATCAGACTGAGTTATCAGATCTTAGTGAGTATTGTATCAGTTATGATGGTTAATACCTGACAAAATTGTCCATCAGCTCTTATTGGTAAGATCTGAGGAATCTTTCCATACGAGCTGAGTTGATTAAATAAGGCGAGTGAGTAGTGCAAACATATGTTGCTAATATTTACAAATACGGCTAAAACCCACATGTTAAAATGAGAGGCAAAATCACACCTACAGGAAAGTATCCATCAGATTTTTCAAAACCGCTGTAGAAACCTGATGTATAATCTGAGGGGTTAGTACTCCAAGGCTGATACTCAGATGATTCATCAGTGATCACTCAGTTGTCCCGTAGGGTACTTAGTAGAAGTCTGAAATGCGACTATGAATAGAAGTGAATTTTAAGTTGGTACTTAAATTTAAGTTGCAACTTTGTTAGTTTCGACTTAGTTGCGGGACTATGAATACGCGCCAATGTTTTCAATTTTTTGCGCCAAGTCACGATAGGCAGGAGTTTGTTAAGTGCCGAGGTCTAAAACTGTTGAGCTACAGAACTAAATTCATCAGCTGATTTTATGTCTTTATGTTAATGATTCATTAATTGAGAGAGGATAGTATCGCTTTCTTAATGCTGAAAAGCGAATCAGATACATATATCAAATGTGCTGGAATGAGAGTTAAAATCCTGGCATAAGCAATGGAGTGGCTCGTGTAATTCAAACTTTCAAGTTTTTCAGAAATAGGGGATAAAAGTGTCTTGTTACACAGCCTAACTTCACCCAAAAGAAGCGGATTTGAAACTGAGCCTGTCAGTAATTTAACCATAAATAAATAAAATGAAATAAAAAACTTTTTAATATACAATGGAAAGCGTGGAGCGCATCCAGTACAAAGCATTCAATTTCATTGACAATAGTCAAACTGCATGACATTCTACAGCCAAAGTACAAATTTGAGATCGATTTTAAGCGGTCGTTATTCATATGCCCACCTACATACATATGTTACTTTTCATATCAATTCAAGTGTATTACATGCGCCCCACGCTTTTAATTTTCAATGTCATTAATTGTTTATAATGACTTTTGCTAAAATTTCAAAATCAAAAGTTATCAAAACAAATTCTGTGGGACTGAGAAATATTATTTTCTACTTTTTAGGCCATTTATAAAAGCGTTGTATATAAAAAAGTTGTATTTTATTTTATTTATTTCCTACTTTTTAGTCTTGTCTGTAGAACATTTTGCAATAGATATTAAAATAATTCAACTTGCAGTGAAAGAGAACAGAAGACTATGCAAGCACAATGTTGTTTGCTCACATTTAGTATAAACATCCATATGTACATACATACATATATCAGGAGTTTATTTCATTTAAAGAAATGCCATTTTCGCTGTGACGTATATAAATAGTGCATATATTAAGGCACAATATTTAACTTCTTCTGGCGGGGCGCCATCTAGAGTCTTCTAATTGTATCTCCTTGATATGATGCCTACAACGAGGTTGATATCTAGACTAGGTTGATATCTAGAATTTTCCATAAATAGCTTTGCTACATTTATATTAGGTGCATTCTTTTGCAACCGAGCTACAAAAGAACACTCGCTTAAATGACGAAATACACGCAAAGCAACAACACAAACTCGGCTATTTATCAGAGCTCAGCCAGGTCGGTTAAAAAATACGCGACCTGAAGGCTAGTGTTGGTAAGTGAAAAAACTGCTATATTGTGAATTGTTAATGGGAAAGTGGAGAGGGAAATTTTTGCTTCCTTTTATACGCGACTTATATTTTAAAAGAGTATATATATTACGCAAATATCTCGCATAATTACTAATTTAAATTTGTTTTTGTATCTAAATCCCGTTAAACTAATCACATTTTCTTGCCAGCTACTAACAGGGTTGCTTAAGTAGCTAAAAGGAAATTTTACCCGAGTTGAGCGTTCTTTTGTCGCTCGCTTACAAAAAAATTCAGCTAGTATAAATGGTGGTCTGGACATACAACATTCAAAGCGGTCTGGACATACAACATTGCAAGTTGATAAAAGCATTGTAAAAAACGTGGAGCGTATGCAATACAAAGCATTAGATTTAATTGACAATATTCAAACTACATACATAACATGACCTAAAATTTCTACAGCGAAAGTACAAATTTGAGATCGATTTTAAGCGGTCGTTATTAATATACCCACATACATACATATGTTACTTTTCATATCAATTCAAGTGTATTACATGCGCCCCACGCTTTTCATTTTCAATCTCATAAGTTGTTTATAATGACTTTTGCTAAAATTTCAACTATGCAAGCAAAATGTTGTTTGCTCACATTTAGTATATGCCTACATATCGCACACCGTCTTTAAAAGAGGCACAACTCAAAAAAAATACGTTCGTCAGAAAATGCGAAAAACTATTTCGTGGCACGTGGGGCGATGTTACCTTAGGTTTTTTTAACAAATTATAACAAAAATTTGCTCCAGCCTTTGCAGAAAGGTAAATAAAAGTTCTGCGTACATTTTTAGCGCATAATCTCAAAAATTCCAAATTTTGAGTTGTGATTCTTTTGAAGACGGAGTGCGATATGTACATACATATAGCAGCAATTAATTTCATTTAAAGAAATGGCGTGTCGTCCAATTCCGCTGTAGCGTATGTAGTGCATGTTTTTAACTTCTTCCGGCGAGGCGACATCCATCTCTAGAGTTTTTCTAATTGTATGTCTTTGATATGATACCTACGACGAGGTTGATATCTAGACTAGGTTTGCCATAAATACCTTTGATATATTTATAGTATGGTGGTCTGGACATACAACATTGCAAGTTGATAAAAGCTGTGTAAAATAGTACCAAGCATTTCCCTGCGACTGAAAAGTGTAGAAAGATTAAAGGTTCTAATCGGCTCGTATAAGGCGGAAGGTTATATTGAGAATCCCAGCGGAAATTTCTTAAAGCAAAAGGTAGAAATTGTTTTTGAATTGATTCTATCTTCTCTGAGTAAATTTGATACCTTGGATTCCAAACCACCGAACCGTATTCCAGAATCGGTCTAACTAATGTTGTAAACAGGGTTTTAGTGATATAAGAGTCACTGAATTCTTTTGACACAAATGTTTCATAAATGCAAGTACGCCTTGTTGACTGTCACATTAATGTGAAGATTAAAATTAAGTTTCGGATCCATTGTGATACCAAGGTCCATAAAATTGTATACCTGTTCCAAATTATGGTTATCTATTGTAACGGGTGATTTTTTTGAGGTTAGGATTTTCATGCATTAGTATTTGACAGATCACGTGGGATTTCAGACATGGTGTCAAAGAGAAAGATGCTCAGTATGCTTTGACATTTCATCATGAATAGACTTACTAACGAGCAACGCTTGCAAATCATTGAATTTTATTACCAAAATCAGTGTTCGGTTCGAAATGTGTTTCGCGCTTTACGTCCGATTTATGGTCTACATAATCGACCAAGTGAGCAAACAATTAATGCGATTGTGACCAAGTTTCGCACTCAGTTTACTTTATTGGACATTAAACCAACCACACGAATGCGTACAGTGCGTACAGAAGAGAATATTGCGTCTGTTTCTGAGAGTGTTGCTGAAGACCGTGAAATGTCGATTCGTCGCCGTTCGCAGCAATTGGGTTTGTGTTATTCGACCACATGGAAGATTTTACGCAAAGATCTTGGTGTAAAA